TGGTTGTAATTACTAGTAAATTTTATTATTATAAGTCTGATCTTAGTTACATTATACATTGAACTATACACTTGGTCCAGGTCATATTTTTTAATCCTAGCCTATACTAACTAAAACCTTAAAGGAACTGTAATAAAGCCTCCAACGCAACATGTGTAATATTCCTGGGCAAACGGACTTTTTAATCTTCGTACGTAATAAAACTTTTTTTTTCTAGGTACGCTAATATTTCAGTACTGATTTGTGTGTTATGATGCACAGTTCAGTTGTTTGAAGCTTCCAAATAAACATGAGTTAATTAAAGTTTTTTATATTCAGTTGAATTCTGTATTACATATACATCTTTGTAAAACAACTTCAAAGATAGGAAATACAAAAAAATGTTCAAAATCTCCTAGAAAAAAAAAAAGTCAATTTTTCAGAGAAACAACCCAGTAAAGGTCAATTGGTTGAACTATTTACTTTTTTGTTCTATGGTGATTTTAAACATTTTTATATTTTAGACTTTATCTTATTTATTATTTTTGGTTAATTCATTTAATACAGGCATAATTATATTATCAAAATTTATTTCTCCTTTTGGAGAGTGTGATTATAGTGTTTATTTCAGTCGTAGGTTTTTAGTTCCTGACTAATGGTATCTATTTGAAAAGTGCCTCCTGACTAATTAGAAAAGCAGAATTGCCTCTAGCAGTAATTGTTATCTCCTTGCCATTGTAAAAATGTTTGAAAGATGTGTGTGTGTGTGTAGATAATCACAGTAATTTTACAGTATACTTAACCAAGATTTTTAGTATTAAGACAGTTTTTATATATTATTTCGTATAGTCCACATTCAACGCATGAGTGAAATATAGCTGGTTTAAAGAGCTTTCGATATGTGTATGTTAACTGCATTGTTGCTTATGCTGAGAAAAATAAATTATTAAATGGGAAGTATTCACCTACCTTTAAAGGCTTGTATGTACACTGTAAGTTATTTATGTTATGGAAACAGACTGTAGGGGGAGTGTAAACAAGAGTAATTAACATTTCAGTTATGTGCAATTGATTCAGAAAGCATGTTCTGTTGAACAGTATTCCAACTCCAGTACTACGATGAAGTAATATACCTCAAAGTTTTTCTGTTTCCATATTAACAGACTTGTATGGTATATCATTATCAGAGTTTGCAGAACATGTTTTCTGGTAATATATATTTAGTTTTAAACATGTAACAATATCTATCATTATAGATATTATATTTGGGTGGATTATGTTTTATTCGTGTGTATATATATTTCAGTCCGAAAAATAGCAGTTAACTTATAAAAGACAGCTTTTTTAATATCATTCAGGCTTGATTTATACATTTCAAAGCAATAAAAACATAGCACTTCTAGTTTCTGATGCATTTTGAACATATTGATTAATGTAAGACTCTTAGCTATAGGCCACAACATGACCTTAGTACACAGTGAGTTATGAAGTGTGGTATTAATTTGATAAAATATCTTTTCTGACAGAATTTCAATAATTCTTATTACCTTCTCAGATATACAGCAACAGTTATATTTCTTTTAAAATATTGCATTTAAAATTCTTTTTGTGGGTTTTTTTGTTTAATATGTTTTGATTTTGTTACAAACGAAACGTTTGTTTCTTTAGTTTTGTATTTGCATAAGATACTTGAACTAATATTAAGCATGAATGATCCTTAGTCTACTGTGAGTAATTGTAGCATATATAGATAACATCTGTGTCTAGTTCAATCTTCTCTTGATAATCAACATCTGTGTGTCAAGATTGGATTAGAAATAATAAAATTTTATTACAATATTTGCATAAAATTATTTTAAAATGTAACACTGTTATTCATTAATTTACCGTGAAGTTGAAAAATGTCTCTGATCAAATACTTTTTTTTTATACCGAGGCAGATAGATTCATCTATATTAAAGTTTCATTTGTGTGGTTCTAAATTATTACGTATAAGGACTTTGAGATCTAAAATCATGGACTCTGTGGATTGAGCAAAACTGAGCATTAAGTATTATAACCATTTAATTGCATATAATAGTGGACCAGTTTATGCACTAACACCTTTTTATAGTAATTTAAACTTCAGTTTTTTGCTATATAATAACAATATAAACACCAACAAAGGTATGACTTTAATAAATTATTTTATCTTTACAGGAATTGTGTATAAATTGTTCATACAACACCCATACACTTCAGGGTTTCACACATGTAAAATCTTGTAATTTAAATTTTAATATGCCAGGTCGTAGGAATTTTCGTTTTGTTTTATTTTTTGTGTTGAATCTTGTTTTCTAAGAGTTGTGGTTTTAAGCAATGTCAACTAATGAGACTACTCGAGATATTTAACACAATTTCGGTATTATCTGTTACTAAGTAACCAGTGTTGTTGGAAATAATCTCCAGAAAGTTTTGGAAATTTGTCGATGTTTGTGTTGCACGTACTTGTCTTTATGTTCTAGTTTTCTTTGTGATTAAAGAGAAATGAGAAGATTTTATCTTAAGCTTTCAAACTTATAGTATTGTTCACAAATCTCGTATGTTTTGAATACCAAATTCAGTTTTTGTAAGCAATGAATCTTTTTTTACCCCTGACGAAGGAATAGATATCTATTTAAAAGTTTGGGATCAAATATACCTTTTGTTTCTTACTTTTGTGCTGAATGCTCTGCAGGAATGTACACATGCAGTGGGACATCTAAAAATATTTGTTTTAATGATGTTGCTTTAAAACTTGTCTATATAGTGTGTACAAAGTCCTAAATATTAGCAGATGTCAAAGTGGTCAGGCATCTATTAGCTTATGGAGGCAGTAGTGGATATTTGGAAGCTTGAAGTAAGGATTATTATTATTACCAAGTGAGAGAGAGGGTCTTTTTCTTTTTTCTAAATAAAGGTTAGCACCATTTGTATGAGAAAATTAAAAATTTGGGTAGTTCTCATAAAAAATAAATTTTGTGTATTACAAATCCTATAATAGTCCTTAAAACATTAAGGATGCTTTAATATTGTACAAAACAAGTGATGTACATAAAGCACACATGGATTTTGTTTTTTAGCACTTGAAGTACCTGATAAATGACATATTAAAATATCTTTCATTGGTTTTTTTTTATGGTTCTTTAAATTTGACACAAGTTGGTGCCCTTGATTAGTTGAATATAAATAAATTCTTATAACCTCTTATTTCTTGGTTGTTATCCTTAGCTAACTAGAATATTTATTGAGGGTAAGAACATATGATAATGTGTTTTTTCTGCCTCAGAAATATAAGATTCTTTATGTGGAATAGAAAAGGGAACCAGGTAGTTTATATTTTTAAACTGATATTTTTTGCTCATGAAGTAAGATGTGGTAGAAGTTCCTGTGGGTTGCCTGTAATGGTGAAAGATAAAAGATTTATTAGGACATCAAGATGTACTTTTTTATTAATGTTTAACCATTTTTTTTTCTGTATCTTGTCAGTTTAGTCTATTGATTTCCTGTTCAGAAATGATAAACTTTAGACTTAAAAATAACTTGTGAGAATTTCAGTATTGACAAGTTTCAGTTTGTGAAGAGGTAGCGGAGAAGTGAATTAGAACACAAACTAGTTCTTGTTGTCTACAAATGATAAATCATTTGTCAACCAATATTCGTTATGTGACAGAAGTGCTATTAACATTGTAAAGTTTACATTTTTGTGATAAATAGATATGTTTGTCATCATTTTATTAAATCGTAAACTATGTAGGTACAAGGTTGTTTTTATCCCAAATCAGTTATTTAGTAGTCTTTCAATATAAATAATTTTATTTGTGGATTGAGTTACAAGGTTCGTCTCTAAAGCATGGAGTATTTTCCTTCTTGTGAAAACATTTTTTGAGATTTAGCATGTTTTTAATTTCTTGTTATAATAGTGAAACTAACCTGTTAAATAATGTTAAAAGACATTCTTTCACAAGGCCTTGTGTGAAAATGTAGAACCATATTTTATGAGCTATAATGTGATTTTGATGAAACATTACAATGCAAGAATTACAAGTATAAAACAAAAAACCCAAATTTTCAGTAAATTGTGAAATTTTTTTGTTGCTATCAAGATGAGTCACTTCTCAAAAGGGGATTCAGTAGTAGTAGTATGAAAATATCACTTGTAAAGGATGTACCTAGTTAATTTGGATATAACTAGACATGACTTGTATAACTGTGTATATTATTTTAAGATTTTACAGCACTGGCTGTAACGTAGTAGCTTAAGATGGCTTCATAGCATGCTCCTCTTTATTTCTTTATGGAAACTTATGAATGTACTGCATGATATTAGTTGTCATTTTTGTTTTTAATATTTGTTTATCTACTTCAAAAAATAAAAATATACAAGTTTTTCTATTTTTCCCTCCTTTTATGCTTTTGGTGATAGTTAACTAGCTTTACACGTTTTTAATATATCTGTGAAACTGCTGTCTCTTTAACTTAGTGAGTGTGAAATTAATGTGTTTATTACCTGTGTTTTGCTAATTATCCATGATTTGTTGTGTCTATATATGTATATGTGTGTGGGTACAGGCCCACCGAGAGGGGCAATTGCCCAGGGGCCCTGTCGAATGAAACCTGGTTATGCCGTAATACATCTTTAGGCTATATCTTCATTTAATGATAAAAACCATAGTTTTTGGCTTTTCTTTGCATATAGACACTTGATACATTAAGAACGACTGAAATAATAATTTTAGTGATAATTAATATATATTTGTTACTTTATAGATTTAATAGATATTTGTCATTACTTTATTAACGTTTTTACGCTTATACTGGGAGGTAAAAACGGCTGCTGCTATGATTTTGTCTGGTTTATGAGCTCATTGCTGTCCTAATTTAGGTTCTTCTTTTTAATAACTTCTTGAAAATGTCAAAAAAGAGAGAGATAAAGAGGGCTCGTGCTGGCTCTCGGCATTTCTGTTTGTGTATATGTTGATGTGTTTTGGTAAGCATGCATGATTTGTTTCCTATGTGTATTTACATTTGTTATTTAGATAAGCTACAAAATAATAGCAACAGATATACACCAAAAGGAAAGATAGTGTGAACAAAACATATTCAAACCTTAGAAGAAATATAGTTAGATTTAATTTTCTGAGGGGGAAAAAAATGCAGCCACAAAATAAATATCCGTTACTGGGGCACAAACCATATAGTGGGTTATTATGTAATGTATCCTTGTTTTCGAGGTACTGGGAGGAGGATGGGAACATTTAGTATAATAGTGCTATAACATCTTGGTTTTTACGTCCAAACATTTTACTGGGGGCAGGAATGCCAACTTCAAAAACAACTTTGCCGCCTCCTCCAATGATGTATGTTACTCTAAATTTTTTATTTCTATTTTTTTTTTACTTAAATGTAACAAGAGAGTAACCACCTTCACATTTCTGGCTGCAGATAGTGAAAGGTATTTAAGATGTGGGACGTTGTGAGCTTGAGTACACACACACCTACTCCTTTTCTCTCTCTCTCTTTCTTTTTCTGGCGAAACTGAGGTTAAACTGGATAAACAGGGGTGCCTCTTATAATTTGTGCCCTTGTGTTAGAATGTTTGTTTTGTGGCTGCAATTTTTTTCCCCACAAAATTAAATATTACTACATACACACACACACACATAGGTAGTTTAACATCAGAGTTAAGTATTCATGATTTCTTATCTGTAACAGGTCAAGTTTGTTAGCATCATAAGAATCTTTAATGTCTATGAAGATGTCCATGAAAGTCGTAACACTTAGTGGCTAACTCCTAAATTTACTGCAAATGCATTGTGAATTAATCATGGTATGTTTATACTGAACAGTGGTCTGATCTCTGGTGAATTTGTAGGCAGGTACAGATAATTATGAAAATCATGCTTTTGTGAAATCATTATGCCTTTTTTTTTATAGAATGTTTCAGACAATGTGATGTGCAAAATTTAGTTTGGGTAAATTGAGTCGTAGATAATTATTTCATATTTTGTGTATATTGGTGGATAATTAATCAATATTCTTAATTTGATTTGCTTTTTCATTTTTGCTTTGTTTCATATACACACACTCTTTACTGTGCCAAACCGAGGAAACTGAACTGTTGTCTCCACATGTTATGTAAAAGGATTCACAGAGTGTTAAGAAACCTTTTATTAGCTGTGAAAATACCCATACTTAACATTTTATTTAATGGACCCCAGAGCATTTAATTAACTAGTTCCAAGAAGATAAAACTTATTCTACGATATGTTGAGCAATTAACCGAGCCGACTGTGTCTAGCTGACATTGTTTTTAAATACTTTGGTTTGAATAATTAAAAAAAACAAGCTTCAATCTCATAAAGCACTAACACCTAGAATATATGTCCGTAAATTCCTTAGGTATTTAAACTTTCTTTTTTTTTTTTTTGTATAACGAATTTGACCTATGCAAAGTAAATTTTCTATTTAAAGAACATGAGAATGAAGATTGTATCTCTACACACACACATACAGATGGATGTTACTATGCAGATGTTTAGTTACAGTTACTTTGTGGTCTTGTAGTACCTTTGTTTCATCAAAAATGTCAATCAAATCAGGAGCATGATTAATATTTGTCCGATTAAATATTCCGATACAACCTAAACTATGAGACTTTAACATTCTGAATGATCAGCATTCTTGAATTGTACTAAATTTATGATAAAACTGTATTCAAACAAAACAAAAATCTGAAGAGTCGTGACTTCTAGGTGCTTTTGTGTACACCAGGGATTTTCAAACTGTGGTATTCGCACCACTGGTGGTATGTGAAAAAAATTAATGTAAAGATTATAAAATGTTTAATAAACCCAACCTGAGCTTCCCACGTACTACTCTCCTCATTTCCAGACTCATCCTTCACCTGCGTAGACTCAACAATGTTTTCTTTCCTTCAAATTGACAAAAATTGCACCACATACTTTTTTGATTTTATTAGAAAAAAAGCAATCACTTCCTTCCCATTAATGGATAAGTGTTAATATCATTTAATTTTGCTGTTAGGTTTTTGTCGGTTTTTTTATAATATTAAGTCTGGGTTTCTACTTCAAAAAAATTTCAACAAAAAGTGGTACTCAAACCTGAAAAGTTTGAGAACCACTGGTGTACACCGTGTCTCACTCTGAGGTTATTATATGCTTTTTTTGTGTGTTTTTTTAAGTTTAGCTTTCAAAATAAAATCCATTATGAAACTTTGTCTTTTATTGTTGCTCTGAACAAAGGTTTTTTTTATTATATTTGTTTGTAAATAAGTGTGAAATTTTTAGATCCATGTAACACAAAAAGGAAGAAATGGTTCAAATTGATTAGTTTCTAATGAATGTGTATACAAGTAGGAAATTTTTGAAATGTGTGTGTGTACTCAAGGGGTTTTTCCATTCGTGTTCTTTGTAAATGTGTTAAGAGTTTTATATAAAAACATTTTATATGGACTTTTGTTGTTATTTCCACGTTTATACATAAGGCAATAATGTACTTCAAATGAAATGAACTTTTGGAAATATAAAAAAATCATATCAATATTTAAAATTGAATCTTAGAAACTGTGAAGTTGCTAAAATTTTTTTCATTTCACATCAAAAATGAATGGGCCAGTTTAAATATCATTTTAAAGACTGAAATGAGAAAAGATAGACAGAAGAGGTTCAGATTCCTTCTTTCTTTCTTTTTTTCTATAGAAAAAAAAAGAATTAGAAAAAGTCAAGTCCAGATACTTTTACTCAGTTTATGGAGCTCTAACATAAGCTATAATTATTTATATACTGTGACTACAAATTCGAACTGTATATCTAATTATTTGCTCTGAAACAATAATGATAACATATTAAGGAATTATACCTAACATATCTACATAATGTTAAACTTGTATTCCAAACCCCTGTATCCATCCCCTGGTGAGGTGTATATATGTTTTATTTTTCTTATATAGTTATGAATATGGAAACACTGTAATGCCTTATATGAAACTACTGGAGCATAAAAGAGGCACATTTACAACATTTAGAAGATTATGAGAAGTGAAAAGAATCTAAGCTACAGCTATTTATTAAATGAACAGTATTTGTTTGAGGTGATGAACTTTAAGAGAGAGTCAAAAGGTAAAAATAGAAATTTTTACATTTTATTTTTTGGGCTAAGACCGAGAAAATATTTTAGATACTTATCAGAAAATCATGACGAAAAGCCCCTGGTGGCTCGGCAGTAAGTCTGAGGGCTTATAATACTGTTACGCCTCCAGTCGTTACTTAATTTTCCGTAACTTCGTTCCGACGAAACTTTAGCGACACAAGTCCTTACT